AGCAATAAGTCCGAAAACCCGGCCCGTTCGCTCCGCTTGTCTCGTCCCGCCGGGACAGACAAACCTATCAGTCAAACCGACACAACTCGAGATGATGCTACTGATGCTCAGATGAAGCCCGAAGTCACTGGAAAAGACGCCTCAGTTCAAACACACACCCAGAACCCTGTTCTTCTTCCGGCTGAGCTTGCGGGCTTGAACACGCAACAACATTGTCTGGGGCTGCGTCTGGCTTCATCACTGCTACTAAGCCTTAGTCGTTGCCCGGCTCTCGTGCTGCACTTCGTACAGTTAAATGAGGAAAATCAAGCCTGCAACCAACAAGTCGACGACGGAGCGAAGCCCCGCCTGGAAACCTATCGCTAATCGTCATGGACTCGCCCTAGAATACGATTGATCCACCTCACCGAACACGACTACTGACCATCAGGACGGCCCCTTGGTTTCTCAGGTGGCCCGAATACCACACCATGCTGAAGCACCCTGGTTCAACTTAAGGTAAGCTGCCGATACAACCTTCATCTTATCGGCACATGGACCGCCATGGTGCTTGGCCAGCAGCTGTCCGTCGCACCCTGCCTGCTAATCCCTGTGCCAGATCTTTTGATCGCCTCGGTGCCCCAGCTGCCACTTCCGCGATCCCAGGTACACCCTGCACAGCGCGCTAACCAAACCCTCCAAATTGTCAACCCTTCTTTGCTTCGCTGACAGCGTCCCCCGAGACGAGTGACCCAAGGCTGCTGATAACCGGAAGCAACTTGGACATCATGGACTTCAGCTATGCGCCATTTCCCATCTGTACTCCACAAAGTCAAGACGCTTCTTTCCGCGGCGCCCGTCAGGATCGGATGGCCCAAGTTGCACAAACTGCCAATGCTTGTCAAAGTGACGGACAGGGGACGCCGTCTCTGTTCTCCCGCTTCCCTCGGCTGTGGCAACGCTTAAGTTACACAGTGAGGAAGTATTGCTTGGCCAGTCCTCCCAAGCCACTATTATTGCTACGATGCATGTCAAACAAGAAGCTACACGATTGGCTCCAAGATCGACACGTCAGGTCAACTGATAACGCGGAAAAAAGGCACCAAGTCCAAGGGAACGCAGAAGAAAAGCACAGCCGGAAGGATTGGCCACGCCTGATTGCCCCAATCCTAGGCTCGGCATGCTGAACCCTCAGTCTCCATCAGCAACAAGATTCTGCTGCGTGCAGATGCTATCGAAGCACTTGCACGGGTCATGGAGGATCGTACACCTTTCTTGGCGACCACGAACGCCGGCTGTCTTGCTCTACCGTCCCGTATAGCCGCTTAGCTTGACGCTGTCTCTCATCTCACCGTCTTTCCCTTGGCTAAGCTAAGCTTCTTTCTTCTTTTCTGAATTAACTTTCAACGGCTGATCTCACCATCCCCAAAGAAGGAACTTATTATTCCACTTGTACAAATCGGAGGAAAAAAAGCAACGGTTCCATTGCAGCAATCTCCAAGTAGCACCCGATTTGCATCCGTATTCCAACAATACGGCTGGGCCAGAGCTCCGGGTTCTCAGCCCGTGCCCAGCGGTGGTGACACAGCGGCAAATATGTCGTGTAGGGCCATTGCTTCTCAATGACTTCAACAACCAGAGGTAAAAGCACGTTGGAATCATAATCAGCTAGCTGGTTTTTACATGCTGTGCCTCACTGCTACGCCATGCGTACCGTTCCATCGCGACTACCCATGGCTATCGACAAGCTGCAACCCTGATACGAGGGCCAGATGAGCAGCACCAACGATGTGGTCAGCACCATACCCCTGGACACCGCCTGTTCTTTGTGCCGAGCCCGGCATATTCCAGCTGGCTCTTAAGCATGGAATGGTCATCCACACTCTTCTCGCAGGGAGCAAGACCCTTGCAGTCATTTCTCGCGCCCAGATGCAACTCACAAGCGCATCTACAACCCAGCATTTGCATGCGCAGACGAGGAAATATTGCATCCTGCGTCCCCCCAACAGCCCTAATCCCTCTATGAATGGTTGGGTGTGAAGCATCCCGCCTTAGCGCTTTTTATTCACCGAGCCTTGCAGCAGGCCCTGGTCCCAGTCCGCATTCTGGCGGCTGACGACCAAAAAAGGTCATCCCACTGAACACTCGGTCGATGGGCGTAGTAATGGCAGCCTCCCTTGCCAAGGATCAGCGGGGAAGTCTGCGCGGTCGACTTCGTGGCGCGACTGGCTTGGGTTTACAGAACTTCAGTGCGACCGAAGCGATATTGAATGTCAGCTTGAGTCGTGCCAGCTGACGCCTTCTAGTTGCCTCCCGTTGGTGCGCATTCGATTGCTGACGCCGCGCAGGACCAAGGTGTCAAAGTCAAACAGTCCATCACTTTCCGAATCTGGATCGTTCTCCGGTTAAGCGGCCTTGAGACTTCTCCACCCGGTCGGTCGGTCGCCGTGCCGGAGGTGGGTCCTTCCGGGCCTCGCTGTCCGGGGCCGGTCTGCGTGTGTGATGGAACGCTTTCAAATGTTCTGCTTCACGGCAGACGCAGAAGCCCTCGAGGATAAACGTGCTATTTTTCTATCGCTGGGCTTCATCCAAAAATAAACGTCGTTTCAACTGTGCAGCGGAAAGCCCCTTTCCGTGAGAACAAGCAGTCGTCGTCCGACAATTGCCCCACGAAGGAAGCTATATGCGCCTACAGATTTTACTGCCAATGGACTCCGTGGAAGCAGTTCGCGGAGGGAGAAATTAGTCGAAAAGCCATTCCAAAGCCCTGTCGGTTCCTGTCAACCCTCCGTGCTTTGACACAAGGAACCAGAGGGTTGGGTCTTTGCTTGCGCTTTGATCGCAACGCAGACCACTGACCTCCCTCGTTACCGCCCAACCGCGTCGGCACCCCACATATTGGAACAATTCCACGGAGCTGCGGTCATTCAAACGGACTTTTACGAGCATCGCGCTCGGTTCCAGCTTGCGTACATACTGGACGGACACTGGGGCTTGACCAGCCATCTTTCTTTTCCACCTGCACGATCTCTCGGCGTACCGTTGACTGTGCCATAGGGTACGGGGGGCAAAGTCTGGCTGGTAGAGTCTCGACACAAGGGCGCATTGCATTGACATTGCCTTCTCCGAGAGGTCGGGTGAGTGTGGATGGGTAACAGGCGGCTGGGAAGCTCCGTACTGAACGCGAGCCCTTCGCTAACCTGTCGCTTTATCCGCCACTTTTTTGGTCCAATCAGCGCGCGAACAACTATTATATCGGGTGGATTGGGCATCCCGGTTGGCGGTCTTGCAGTCTGCGAGGGCCAGGACTTGTAGATGAACCTGTCGCCTCGGCGGGAAGTTGAGGGCTGTTTGGAAAGTTTTCGGCATGCTGGGCTCTTTACGGCCTATCTCGATCTTAACAACATACACGAAACGAGATTGGTCTTGAAAACGTCCCGGCAGTATGGGTGTAATAACTTTAATATAACCCGTCAACTGTGACAGATGTCTTTAAACTCAACCAGAAGCGTAAGTCACAGGTGTCATTAAACCATCCATCACACTGGTAAATTTGAGTCATGAGACGATATTTCGAGATGATTGGCATGTGAAGCACTTTTTCCAGGTCGCCAACCGTCGGTTCCGGGTTCTTGTCCCGACGCAAATCGCACAAGAAAAGAATCAAGACCGAACCAAGTAAGTGTAATTCGTAAACGTAGGACAGACACGAGCTTTACCATGACCCTACATGTGCCAGTCTAGAGGCCTAGGAGCCCGAAAGTCTGGACAATCAACTCCTTGAAGTCAACAATAACCCCCCTTTCTTTCTGGCTTTTCGGCTGAACTTGATGATGGGGGCTTTTTTCCACTAAATTGACACCATCTTGACACCTTCACCCAGCCCTGAAATTCCCGCCTCACATCCTGTCCTCGGGAATTTCGGCTGATCTTTCGGTTGGCTAGAGCTTTTGCTCTATAAGTTCAAGCCGTCGACTATACCGCGTCTAGAATGAACCCGGACTTCTCCTCCGGGCGTATATGAAGGTTGTTTTTGGCCGCTGGTATCCCCATATGTTCTACTCATACTAAACGTGGCCGAACCCGATCTTTCAGTTGGCTGGATGTTGATGTGCGAAGTCTTATGAACTTTGGTATATTATTCTCATATCTGAAGATGCTTTGAGGGCCGCCCATTCGCGTGTCATCGCGAGCCAAGCTCGTGACCCGGCCGTATATGGAGGCTAGTACGTGCTGTATGCCTTCAAGGCTATGTTGCTGGTGATGGCTCTTGTGCTTTTGGCCAACTGGGGATTGCCGTTCATTGGAACTGTAAGGGGCATTTGCTTCCAGCGCATTAATATCGATTCGCGTGTTGGTAACTTCCGCTCGAAAGTGGAACTGATTCATCCTACTTGCGAGCAGCTCGCAATGGAAAATTCGTTTGCTGTCCCCGTATTTGGCAGATAAATCTTCCTGTCACGCGAGGAACGGACGGGACGGGCTGAGTAGGATACTTTCCCGTTTCATGTCGGACACATCGGTTCAGGAGAGCGAGGAGTTGCGAGGACGGTAGAAGATGCTCCTGGAAGCAAACATGCCCCTTCAAGAGTTCTTGCAGTGGTTAAGTACGCCGCTCGATACACGGGACAGACGGATCAAATGCTATGTATGTATTTGGTATGGAGGAGAGGCTTTCGGAAGCTGAGGAGGCCGGTAGATGGGTTGGAGCTGTGTAGTTTATGATTGGTTACTGACATTGGTTGGTTGGCAAACACAGATTCTCATTTGTCTCGAGTTGCAACTCCTCTATAGCTATTAGAATGCTACTTTGCTGGTTTAGCTGACCTGCAAAGGTATAGGTATCATGGAAAAGAAATAGGTCAAATTCAAAACTATGTGCACCTCGGACGAAGAACGGGAATCATGCACCATCTCTGGGTATTGAATGCTTCTTGTGCTCGTTATTTAACCCGTCTTGCTACCCCTGCTCGCCAAGCAATTGACTATGAAGAGGAAGCTGAAGGCCGTAAGGGCGGGCATCACGCGAGACCGCAGTAACAATCGCAGTCAGCTCCGTTGGCCATCTGTCGTCCTCCTTCCGTTCGGCACTGGGTCGCCAGTCAGCACAATTCGGTCCAAGATAGGACGTGTACCCTGCGAGACGCGCTCCTCAGATGCGCCCCACGGAGCTGCGTGAACTCACCTTCTGACCGCAAAGAGTCTTGCAGTCTTGCTGGTCCTTCGGGCTACAGTTGGAAACCCACTGATGAACACGCTCACAGTCAGCCGATTGACAACTCCCATGTCATAAGAAGTGCGGGCGGGTTCGAGAAAGCGTAGCCATAGTTGGAGGAGGGGAAGAGGACTCACGTTGGTAGGGAATGTGGTTCCACACTTTTGCAATCGGAGGCCGGCGCTCGCGAAGGAGATCTGCAGCGCAGCGAGGAGGAAAGCAAGGAAGAAACGCATTGTGACTGGCGGTGGGGACTGGGCCGATTTGTTATGAGGATGTACAAGAGAGCGAAGTTGTGATGAACGAACTGTGACTAGATGATGAATGTTCGATCCCAAAATTCCGAGAGGAAGCGCGATGTATTTACATCTTCGCCAAGACGGAGCACTCCTCTAATCACTGCTCGGATTACACGAGTTGGATCGTCCAGTTCGATGAAAAGTTGCCTGTTTGATCTGGTTGAGGCTAGGCCAGCGCCGACTGACTCGCAACTCAATCTATTAGACTCAGGAATGAGCGTCCCGACATACTCTATCCGAGCCTTATTAGTCTAATTTTTTAACTAGACGTCAGGGTCAAAAATGGGGAATACACTTGGCGGTGGTTTCAACCTATTTCCTATTTGTTCGTTCGTAATTCCCGCTGACAACTGTCGTTGCGCGGAGAAGAAAGCGAACCCGATGCAAACTCGGGGGGTTGACCTCACCGACAACGAAGTGGGGCGATTCTGAAGACTACCTAACCAACGAACTTGCTCGCGCTTCTAGACGAAGACTTTAAGTGATGGAGTTTAGAAAGTCTTCGAGCATGAATCATTGACCGTCGTTTGATGTCAAGAAGTTATCGCTTAAGTTGTGAGCGCAATCGAGTTTTTGCGCCGGTCCATAGTCACACATTCATGTGGTTTAGGAGAAGCTTGATGATTCAGATTTAACATCACAGCCCGACTAGGTTTACTCAATCGCTGTCATTCATCGTGCAAAGTAGCCGGATTGGCTTTGCCCGAACTAAAGACTTTTTAAGTCTTAGATCATTGAAGTTGACAGTCCAAACTTATAAGAGGCGGGTGGACACCAATACTCGGAAAGCCCACAATACCACCAGGGCTGTTTGAGCGTGTCAGACAAACCACTTTTGGCGAGCTGGTTGCTCGGTATCGTATCCCATTTTCACTTCCCTGTTATCAACCATCAACTGACTGAACGAGTCTTCAGAGGATTTGAGTCTAGACCGGAATTTCAAACAGGGCTTTCCCATAAAGTCTGCACAATGCACTTTTTTGAAGCAGATTTGTGTTCCTTCATCTTCGTTTTTTGCCGCATCAGCAAGACTCATCTGGCGCGGGTTACTCCGCGCAGCCTAGGACACTTGTGAGGCGGTGAGCTTCGAAATTGTCGAGAACCTGTGGTCCACCGGGTTGCCAGAAGCCAAGGCTGGTGGGGCTGGAACGATGACTACAGGTGTTGCTTGAAGCTGGTCTGTAAGAACCGAGGTCAAAATCCTCCTCGACGAGTACCACGCCAGTCTCTCTACTTTACCACGCCGCTGCTTCGTCGAGCGAAGTGTCATACTTGATCGAGATAATCTGAAGGTATCTCATCCCACCCCGTCCCTCCAGCTATAGGGACTCGGAAACAGGCCACATTTTCGGTTCCTGTTCCAACACTCCAAGCAAATCTTCATCCGCAGTCTAGAAATCATCCATCTTCCCCCGGATGGGTGCAATATGGCTCTCCCATCCCCTTCAACCTTGCTCGCGCTTGTAGTCCCCGTCTGATTCCAATGCGGGTATGCCGACTGACAGTCCTCTGGCCTGTATTCGATAAGCGTGTTGTCGCGCACTCGGCGATGATCTGATAACGTTCAGTAGCAGGTTAAACACATTGGCAGGTTCACCCGACCACAGATCAAGTACCGTAACATCAAACAGATGGCTCAAGTCCAGTCATATTCACATACGCGATGAAGTGCGAAACTGTCCAAAGTCGACAAACTGCCGATGGTACATGTTGAACACGCTATACCAGAGAACTGAATAAAGTGGGAGTCCCAAACGCCGCGACTGGCTTCTCTTTTGATTTGAAAACCTCTCTAGCCAGAGAAAATCTCCTCCAAGCCCGTCCATGTCCCCTTGGACCTCTCCTCCCAGTACGAGTCCTTGCCGGTCCTCAGCTTCCAAACCTCCTCGCCCTCTGGGCCTTGTCCGACCTTGACGAACCACTTCGGCCTGTGCTCTTCGCCCTTCTCTTCCAGCACGCGCCGGCGTGCTCGCTGTGCCTCTTCGAGTTTGACCTTCCACTCCTCTGCCTGGTCCAAGTCTCCCTTCTCCGCCAAGCGCTGATCGGGTCTCAGTCTACTGTCCGTTGGCGGTAGTCTGTCCTTCTCGATATCGGTGACCTCGTTCAGAGCGGCCGCAAATGTCGTCATACCGTACGTATTGGCGGCATTGTCGACAAGCTTGCCAACGCGCCAGATCTCCTGACCGGCGGCCTTGCCGGCTTCGACAACGCGAAGGCTGCCAGTCCACGTTCCCGACAGACTGCTGCCAGTGTGGACACCATCCGGACCGTATGTTTCCACCTGGACGTCTTCGCCTCGTCCTCCAAACATTCCCTTGCTACGGAATTCGACGGAGGCCTTGGCACCAGTGGTGTCGTTGGTAATCGGCATAACGCCAACGGGTTCAACGTACTTCTCACCCATGACTACGTTGCGCAGGAACATCGTGGCATGAGTCCAGGAGTACAGCTCATCTGTTCCGTCAGGCAGTCTCAGTGCGACGCGGACGCGGCCTTCCGTGGTGATTTCGGCACTCTTGCCCCAGAACTTTTGTGACGGCGCGGGAGACTGGCTGAAAGACCAGTTTGCCGAATCCGCCTGCATGGCGAGCCTCACCGGGCGATGGCAAACCTTCTCGACAAGCAGGCGGAAGCCTCCTGGTACCTCCTGTTCTGTTCGGAGCATTTCGTACGTTTCTCCAAGAAGCGGGTTAAAGGGCTTGCGGATAGCACGCTCCTTGGCTCGTCCGCTGCTGAATTGTGACACGGCAAAGGCCGTGACGTACAGGAGACGTTCCTTGGGCTCCTTTGCGCGCGCAGCTTGGTCCAGAAGTTGCGCATACTCTAGCTGTTCCGCTACACGTTGCAGGAGTGATATCGGCTCGTTCGCAGACACGGGCATACTGATAGTACTGAGATCCTTGCCGACGTTCTTCCGGACGAAAGCGATCAAACTCGGGGGCTGAACCAAGGCCGGCGGGACCTTGGTTCGCCTGGTTATTGAAATGTCAACTGGCAGCGGCGACAGGCTCTTGGGCTTTGCCGGGTAGCAGCTCGTATCATCCTGGCCAATGCCGGCATCCGACTCTGGTGCTGATGAAATCGAAGATGAATCGGTCAAATTACCCTCGTCCGGCTCAGAATCCGGGCTTTCATCTTCACTTTGAGCAATTCGGACAATTTGCGAATTCGTCTCCCCTGCCTCGGCATCGAAGAACTCGTCCGTTGACATGGTTTCCATACTCCTGCGAGAGGGGGCGGCAGAGAGCGGGGCGGGTGCTCTGCGGCGCTTGCTGTTGGCGATCAGCGTCGTGAACTCAGATACCACAGAGTCAAGGTCATTGAGAAGTGATGCACAATGCTCTTGTGTACTCTTCTCTTCATGGATTGAGGCCTTTGACTTGGAGTGGTGGTGACGGGGACCATTGGAGGAAATGGTGGTCGTGACCGTGTTCGGGGCCGGAACAGCCAGAGCAGTGGCAGCGGATGCCTGATGCGCCTGCGGCGTTGTAGCTGTTGGGGTCGCATTACTCGATTTGCGCTTCCAGAATGGTCGTCTCTGTGCCTGCTGCTCGGTTGCCTGAGGGGAAGCGGAGGGAAAATAGCTGTCGGGTTCTTCGCCCATGCTGGTGGGAGACAGAAAGCTCGACGCTGCCATGCTCACAGGCCTTTGATTCGACATGTCCTTGACCAAGCGACGCAGAGCATCTCGGGTTCCGACCATTCGGCTGACCAACGTCTCAACCTGCTGCCATTCGCGGTCTTCCTCCATGCTTGTCGCATTTGGCTTCAGATGGGTGGTGTTGACTCGTAAAGGCGCCGACCTGGCATTGTTCGGTTGGTCATCGGGGGCCTCCAACCCTCTGGCCGCGCGGCTGGCCTTTTCCAGAGCCCGCGCCCAGTCGTTGAAATCCTTCGCATTGGATGCTCGCAGGTGCCAAATCTCAGCACCTGAGTCAATGTTGATCTCCCTGCGACGTTCGTCGGCCGCGATAGCTGCGAGGCTGAGAGGTATGGCACCGCGCAGAGCCGAGGAGTTGCGGTTATAGTAGTACGACAAGGTGCAAGACGAGTAGTCGAGGGAGAAGAATCTGCGCGCATATCCTTGGCCCTTCTTCCTCCTCCTCTTGTGAAGAATACCCGTGTGATAGTTGGCATTCTCGCTGCGTCCCGAGGCGGACGTCGGTCGCACACCGCCGCCGGTCTTATGGCTGTGGAGACTGTCCTGGGAAGCGGAAGTGACGGTGGTCACTTGGGGCAGGCTGGTTCTGCTGGCACTCGCGTTCGCAGCTTGTAGGTTCGGGAAGGCGTTGGCGGTAGTCTGGGGCGGGGCACCGGTCGGGTAGGTCAGAAGGACGAAGGTCGCCGTCTTGGAAATCTGCTTGGAAAAGGTGTTGTCAAATACCAGGCCGAACATGCCGCCCTGGCCCTTCTCGACATCCCAAGTGCCGGTGGACACCTTGTCTGCATCGCATTTCCCGTGCCATTTGACGGGTATGAAGCCCTTGCTGGAGAGCTGGTCTTGGGCGGTGATGGAGTCGCGCTTGGCAAAGCGACCCTTGGATTCGGCTACGCCGGAGGTGAGGGCGCCGGCGGTTGCGGTGTCGTCGTTCTGGTTCGCAATCAAGCCGGTGGCACCTGTGCCCGGATGCTTGACGATTCCAAAGTTTCTGCCTCGGCGTGAGGTAAGCACGTGTCGAGTTGGAGAAGTATCGCGAGGAGAAGAGGGGGAAGAGGTACGCACATGGACTTTTTGTGTGGTTGAACGCTCCAGGATATGGTATGGCCTTCGTCGACTTTGACCCAACGGACAATGTAGGACTGGTGACAGAGAGCAGCTGTTAGCTTGGAGATAGACTGAGGGGAGTCGAACTGAAGACGGCACGGAGGAGAGAGGGCCGGGCAATGACGACTCACGTACCTTGCTATGGATCTCCAACTGCTCAATGCCCGCCATT